CTGAAAAAAGTAAGCCATATTCAACAAAGTAGAAGTGCTACCTTGCACCTTGTTGATTATGTCTTGACATTAAAATATGTCTGGCATTGCAATTCAAATATATCATTACATACATGTGTAATCTATTACAAAATATTGCCGTAAAGTGTCATACCTTTCGAATTTCGAAGTTTCTATTCAACGTGCGGACTTTTAACGCCCCTTACAAAAGTAGCCTAAAGAGAAGAAGCTTAGAAGTTTAGTTTTTGCATATATATTTAAGTAGCTTGTGTCATTTAACGTGTAAGCAGCTGAGACAAAAGAAGAACCTTTCCACTAATTTGCTTTCGGATATACTATTCGCACTGTAAATGTCACTCACTGCTTTTAGGCGTCAATTTTGTGTATTGGTAAAAAAAAACCAAACGAAACCGAAATAATTTTCATGTACATAAATACGATTACGAATTTTTAAAAGTAAATTAATTGAAACTCATTTGCGATCTTAATTTTTAATACGTTTTCTATCATTCATAATGATAATCTTTTAAAGATAATTGTTTTTTATGTATATGTTCTTTAAGCGATTTTTTTGTTGCTTTTCTTTTCATCTTTTTGAAAGTTTGTTTTTTTTTTTTTTGTTTTATGTATAAATAATTCTAAAATAGCGTATTTATGTATGTATATATAATATTACATAATATATGTATGTATGTAGATACAACGAAGAGCGTAATTTGTTGTTGCATTTGTATGTGTATGTTTGTTTGTTTGTGTAATTAAATTCACAATACAATTATCAATTGTAATTAATATTTATAAATCATGTTTCTCTTTTTTTTTTGTTTTTTTTTTTAATATAATTATCAGCATACATTTACACACACATACAATCGTAGTAGAGTTAAATACATAAATGTATGTATGTATATAGTAAATATAAATTAAAAATAATAGTATTTGTTATGTTTGCATGTAGAGTATGTATGCAAGACAGTTAACACACGTTCAAGTTGGCGTTGACTTTGACGTCGTAAAATTTGTTCGTGTTACTCTTATGTATGCTTGTATGTATGCGTTTCACAACTAGTTATTGTTGTTGTTGTTCGTGGCATCGGGGGGGGTGCAAATGATATCTGTTTAAAAATGCCCATGCATATTTTTGGGTGGATGATTTTGTTGATCAGTGTCATTTTCAGCTAGACAGACGCTTACACGCTTTTAGCTTTAGTGGCTTTTGTGATGATGCGCTGATGAAGTTCGATCTTTGTTTTTACTTTGTTTTGGGAGCGCCAAATTTAGTGTAGGATTTTTGGTTCTTTCGATTCGATTTTCGGTTAATTTATGTAGATGTATAAGTATTATGCATATATTTATGTTCGGGTGTGCGTTCCCACATGAATGTGGGGAGAAGAAATAAAAATCAGCTGAAATTAGCAAAGACAAATTTTCATTAGAAACCAGAGCTTAATCCAAAAATGGTAAAAAAACGAAATAAAATCTTGAAGAAATTTTAATGTAAGTAATTTCGTAAAGAGATAAAAAAAAAATACATTAAACACATTATGCAGACTCTTGATAAACAGGTAAAATTGTCAATAAACTGGAAATGGCAAGACGTAACGAGCAGGGGTGTAACTCTGTTCAATGGCATTCTAGAACCTTGATTTCCATTCACAAAAATCTAGATTTTCCAGTGCAAGACAACATTCTTGCGGTAGTTAACTTTTGCTTTTTGTACCGAAATTCAATCGTTGATTGCCGAATGCGAGTTAACTTTTCACTGTGACAACGGCCTTAAATGAATAACAGGTGCGCCTAAAAATATGCAGCGCCTCTAGAGAACATATACCGTACTAGTTGCGCTGGTTGAAAACAAATAAAAATTCTCCAAAGAGTTGTTAGCGAATACTGCTGGATGACAGTTCTTTGCCAGATAAAAATCTGGGACGTTCCGGTCACGTAGACCATACTGTCGAGGAAACGTTATTGTAGCGGTTACTCATTCCTGCCAAGGTTAGCTTATATTTCAAACGTCAAGCTTAACTAAAGGTTGGTCCAGAAAAAGTGTTTTTGCGACGAATTCGGGAGGGGAATTTACCTAGACTTTGTTTAAGGGGACATGTGTAGAGATGGCAAATGTGATGCGGGGAACCTACACACGTACGAAATACGTTGGATACATTGCAGCTGAGTCTGGATAAATGCATAGCAGCTTAACCTGCCGTGGTATAAAGATCGTAATTGTGCCAGAGTATAACAGGCCTATCGAGGCAGCTGAAGCCCTTACTCTGGCAATGGGTGGTGGTTAAATTCTGATAACGGTATTTTCAGGGCGAGGGAACTAGCTTAATTGCCTGTCTGCACAGCGTCGGGTCAGTAGTTTTTTTATGCAGTCCAGGAGCTCTCCCAGAAATTCAAGCAGATGGCATCTGATGAGCTTTGGAGGAGATCTTTCTTGTCAATATTGAGCAGTCGCCAATGTATGAGATATGGTAAGCTCCCCATGATACAGTAGCAGGTGAGATCGGTCGATAAAACATTCTAACGATATCAAACTTTACGAACCGGAATTACGCGGATTTTACCCAATTAAAAGCTGTTGTTTCAGTCATCTAACACCTCCGCATCCCCACGATACATATTGCGGCAGATAACTAGCAGTGGAATTCTGACAATCGCCACGATAAATTTTCGTCGTTAAAACTCTCTAAATGAAAAGCAGTGGAGCCCAAAAGTATGCAACTTGGGAGAGTTGAAGTTTTTCCCAGTCTAAGGAAAAACATACACCTAAAATACATATATAATTAAAAAAAAAACAAAAAAAATTAAATCTGCATTTCAATCGAGACCCTTTCTATGGTAACTACACACAATTAAAGAATTTCACTTACCAAATCGTTTTTTCTTTCATTGTTTGTCAATGTTTCCTTATAATAACTTTTTGTTTACATTCGTATGTATGTATGTATAAAAGAAATCGAAATTCAATTTTATTGAATTTTTCTCTGCGAAAGTGTTTCTCAGCTTAAAAGAGTTCGTTTACAATCTTCCGTTTTTTAGTTTTTGTTTGTTTTCACTTCTGTCTTCACTCAATGGCGTGCTTTTGCTACAGCAGGTCTATTTGTCTGTGTGTGTGTGTGCTCATTCCTGTACAAAGCTCTCTGATGGAGTTGCAAGTGTTTGTATAAATGGGGTCCTTCATTTCTTTTTCTCTTTTTTTCTGTAATTGCAAAATTAAAAATAAAAAAGAACGAAAAAAGATAAAAGTTTTTAGAAAATTAAATATGTATGTACAATGCAAGTTTTTGTGCACATAATATGTAAATAAATATCTTTGTGTATAAATAAAATGTATTTAAAAAAATTACGCCTAGCAAACTATTCTAGTGCTACTGACTGGATAAACTAGAAAATAATTTACCTTCAATTAAGCAAAAACCACAACCATTGCGGAAAAGAAAAAATAAATACAAAAAAAATAAGATCTACAAACAAAAAGCGAAATTTAAACAACACATACTATGTGGGTACATATGTAAATATTTATATAGGGTGATCCATCTAGACCTTCAAATCTTGGCTGCAGAGAGAACATAACCGAAAATAACGAGCGCTACCACACCTTGATAACTGCCTTTTTGTTGGCTGAAATTGAACCTTTGAATGAAGTAAATAGTAAATTTTAGAGATTATTTTTTCATGCGATAGAAAAGATTCCGACATCCAGATCTGTTTTAAGTGTTTTATTTAAAATAGAAAAAGTCTAGATGGATCACCCTATATATTGCAGTTAATCAGTAATTTATCTGAAAGCTAAGACGATTAAATATATGGGTGTATCTGGGTACGATTGTCATCTGAATTAATTTTACACATTTTGTGTGTAAAAAAATTTTATCTATTTTCATTTTTTACAAAAAATCGCACAGCGATGTCTTCTTTCGGTTGAAAATTAAAAAATGCACTGAAAAAGTTGTTTGCAAAAAAAATTTTAACTGTAGTTAAAATTGCAAAACTGAAAATTATAGAAAAAATATAAAAAATAAATAATTTCTTTTAAGTTTTCAAAAAAGATTTTTGTGATCAAAAAAATTTATTTTTTTAAGTTTTCAGAAAAGATTTTTGTGATAAAAAAAATATACTTTTTATTTAATACAAAAAAGGGAACGATGCCGTTATTTTTCGGCATTACTGTTGAAATAAATAAATAAATAGATAAACAAAAAAATAAGGAACATTTTTTGACAAAGAAATTTATTTATTTTAATTTAATAAAAAAAAATGTTAATATATTATTTAATACAAAAAAGTTTATTATTTTCGCCATTACTGTTGAAAAAAATAAAAAAGTGTACAAAAAACAAATTCTAGGACAGTTTGTAACTACAAAAATTTCACGATGCTATTATTTTTCGTCATGACTGTAGATTAAAAAAAAAATGCCAGAAAAAATTATTTTTGTAAAAAAATTTAATTGTAGTTAAAATTGTAAAAAACTGATAATTATATTGAAATAATTAAAAATAAAAATTCCAGAAATTTTCGGAAAAAATACTGTTGAAAAAATAAAAAAAAACTTTGTAACTGTACCTAAAATCGTATACCAGAAAATTATATTGAACAAATTTTTTAGAAAAAATATAAGGAAATTTTCCAAAAAATTTTCGGAAAACATTTTTGTGACCAAAAAAATTTGATTTCTTTTAATTTAGTACAAAAAATTTCCCGATATATGTGTAGCTGCCGTTTTTTCGCCATCTTTGTTAATTAAAAAAAAAAACAGTAAATAAAAACAAGTTTTGTCAAACAAATTTTATTGGAGTTAAAATCGTAAAACTGAAAATTTTACTGAAAATATTTCTTAAAAAAAAAATATGCTAGGGAAATTTTTCAAGAAATTTTCAACAAATATTTTCTCTAACATAATTTTTTTTAGTAAATTTATAAAAACACGGTGGATTTTCGATTAACTAATGAAACAAATTAATTAATTAATTTTTAATACCATTTTATTGTTCCCTCATACACTTCAGACATGAATATGAAATGTGAAGCGGAAAAATATTGCTACACTCAATGTTGTTAAAAATTTTATCATGAGCAGCTTCTTTGAAAATAATAGCTGAATAACGTAAAATGAGCTCCCTCAGTCACGTAGTAAAATAACAAGGTACAACAAAATTTTAAGGACTTTGATCTCGAAAACAGGACTGATCTCATCTTATAGATTTTTTTAAGCTGATTTAAAATCCGTTTACACAATTTTTATAGCACGTCTAGTTTTTTAAGAAAAACTATTGAAGTGGCATTTATACAATCAAAAATTTATTTTACTTTTCAATGATTTTTCCACTCATCGACATCAGGTATTATTCCTCAGACAAATTTTATTTTCATTAATACGCGGTTTTTTTAATTTTTTTTTCAGTTCAACAGTTTTTTTCTTAAAAACTATACGTGGCAGAAAATTTTTATAAATGGGATTGCAATCATCATCACACAATTTGTGTTAAACGGGCGGACAAATTTTAAAGCATACTTGAGAAAACGGCTCTAAATTTGAGTGAACCCTAAAAAAAAATACACAAATGGAAATGTATTAAAAACAAAATAAAAAAATACAAATAATAAAACAAGAAACATAAAACAACTAAAAGGATGAACTGAAAAAAAATAATAATTTTAAAGAAATTTAAAAATTACTATCAAAATAAAAATAATTTAAAAGAAATTAATCTAAAAAGAAAATAAAATTAACATAAAAAAAATTTTTAATTTGCGGATGCGGAGTGTCAAAAGAAAAATGGTTCATATTTTAAGTATGTACATATCGATGGTCCTGTGCAACACAACGACACAATTTAAAATTCAAAAAATAAAAACTGTTACTACTGTTAAGTGGCTCTTGTCGCTAATCCTTGTCTAATCCATTTCCATCCCTTACCAAAGTACCTAAGCAGTAAGGATTGCTAAAGTATGTGCAAAAGATAAGATTCGACAAGGATTAGAGACATGAGCCACTTAACAGTAGTAACAGTTTTTATTTTTTGAATTTTGAATTGTGTCGTTGTGTTGCACAGGACCATCGATATATTGAAAAATTTTTATAAGGGTTGCCATCTAACAAATTATATTGAAATACATAGCTTAAGAAGGCGAAATATTACATTGTGGGTACTCAGCAAAACGTTTTGATTAACAGTTTTTAATACAAATTAATTTTAATAGGGTTGCCACCTAAAAAAATGCTACGCTAAAATTTTCAGTATCGAATGTTTGGCGTTTTTTTTTTTGTTTGTGCTTTCTATCGATTTTTTTTTTCTTAAAACAAGAACTAAAACTTATTTCTATGATATACATAACTCTTATTGGCAAAACCTAAAACATACTATACAACGTTATAGTCGTTTAACGTAATTAAATTATATATACAATTAAACCACTACAAAAATTAAAGCAAATATGTATTTCTGAGTGACAAAACGAGTACTGACTGCAACCGAAAACAATTTACGGGAAGCTAATAAAACAACAAAGAAAGCATTTAAAACTAACTTGCGATACACATTTCTGTTTTTTTTTTTTTTACCTGCACTATTCTTATACACATTTAAACTTCGGAGCGCTTCAAGGTTGCAAAATACAGAAAATACCGATTTTCATATATAAAAATTTTGGCACATGGAACAGCGGCTAGTTGAGTTGTTGGATTGGTGCGGAGTTGTTGGAAGATCAATGCAGCCGGTAAAGTTGTGGGATGTGCATTAGTGGGAGTGTTGGTTGGTTGGTTGGTTGGTTGGTAGGTTGGTGGGTAAGTGTTATACGCATTATGCCGAGCGAATTCGTGTATGATTCATGGTATGAACTGTAGGTTAATTAAGGACATTTTATTTATGTTTGTGTTTTTTTTTTTGTAATTTTTATTTAGCTCTCCTTCTTTGCTTCACAACCACTGTTTAGCAAAACAGCATTGACCACCAGGCGCAACCACATAACCATCTGCAAGGCATTTATATTGGGAGGAGACAAAAAAAAAAAACAAATAGGGAAAAAGAGAAAGAAAAAAGAAGACAATTTGCAGGTGATAACCAATTTGGTGTGTACTCGTACTGGTTAAATATTCAATTTGGTTTTAATTGCAATGTAATTGATGCCAACAACCGCACAAATACATATGCACATATATTACAGGTACATACATAAATATTGTATATATGTATGTAGATACATGTATGTATATATATAAGCAACGAAATTGCAAAATCAAACATATAAGGAACAAAATGTAAGTAAAAAAAAAAAAACTGAACTTTCTTGCAAAGTTTCGAAATAAGAACTTTACATTGCCAGCTTTAAGCATTAAAGCGCAAAAACATATGCACCTAACAACAAAATACTAAACAAATGAATTGAAGCGCAATTGATTAGTGACGATTTTTTTTCATGAAAAACATAAAAACTATTTTTAGTAAAACGAGATTTGTAATGAATTTGAATAATACAGTTTGAACTAACACTAACAAACAAAAAGACGCTATACTTATTTGCACATTGCACAATTATTGGTAGTTTATAAAAAAAAATAAAATTATTTGAGCGTGGTCATCAGCACTCAGCATTGAAGAAAAATAAAATGATCCAGAACTAAAAAAAAAAAAATAAATATGAAAAATTTATATTGTTATCGGTACTGATTTTATTTAATGGCTTACATCCTCAACAAAAAAATAATAATTTTGTATTGAAAAATTTAGTTCAAAAAAGAAGCTTGGTTAATTTGCTTTGTGGTAGTGTACATAAGTAATTTTTGATTGCTTTACTTCGAAGAATAGGTTAATGAACCTTCTGAGAATCGATTTTTAGTTGCAATTCGGAACATGAATCTACCTAACCAAAAAGGTAATGAAAACATGATATTTTGTCTCCACGAAATTAATAATGAATTTAATTAATTTTCTCAAATACCATCCCATGACAGGTTTTCTATTATCTAAAAGGTAAAGAAAATTTTACACGATTTTAGTAAAAAGAAAAGGAACAAAGTAGTTAATTTCGTGGTAGCTTGGTATTCATCGCGGGAATGATTAGCTTTGGAGTAAGTCATGCACAAGCGATATCAGCACCATTTTTAATTCCTAATTTTTACAACTAATCCGGCTAGTTTATTTGTCTTTGGATCATGTGCTGCCGGCGAGTAATTCATATGCTCAGAAAATGTGGAAATGTGTAGCTCTCAACTATTGGGCTATGAAAAGATGGAACTGGTATGCCCCCCCTTTCATTTACGTTTTAAAATTCTATTCTATTTTTGAACAAAGCTCACCAGTAGAATTGAGGGATAACATTGTTGAGATCTTATTGTTCGTATTTCCAGCAAAAAATAAGTGTAGCGAGAGTGACAAAGAATAAAGAAATTAAAGAGATGAACGCGGAAAAATTTGCAACGTAAAACGTATGAATACAAAAAAAAAAACGATAAATTACAATAAACGATAATTTATTAAAAAAAAACAATAATAATAATAAAAAATTGTTCAATTAAAAAAAAACAAATAAAAATTAAACGGTGAACTATTTCATGTGTGTTTTTGTGCTACATTGGCAAACTAATTGCGCCACTAAATTTACTTAAATTGTATTATTATTTATTTATTTTTTTCTTATGCATACATGTCATTTTGAAAGTAAACCTGTTTGGTTACATGGTAAATTTTAATGCAACAGACAAAATTTGTGTCATTTTTTTTTGTGTGTCTAAATAAATAATGACGTTATCCTTTTTTAATCAAGAGATACTGGGACATATTGATTGATAGTCGAAACAAACAAAACAAATTCTAAAGTTAGTTGCCGTTTTCTGACAGATATTTCCATGAAAATTATGCTTAAAAGCTGCAACTAACTTCGCTGTAGAGTTTTGTGATCTAAAAAGGTCCATGACCCCTGTGTTGTTTTTGAACGTTGAACGCTATTTTTTAATTTTGTTTTTGTTTTCTTACCTTCATGAATTCACGCTTGTTAATATGTATTATGAACTTATTTTACTACTACTATAATATGAGTATGTATACATACAAATCAAAAGTGCGTAAAATGTATGAATTATATATTTTTAAATAGTTTTTTTTTTTCTGAAATTACACGATTATTTATGTATATCGTTATTGCATGCTTTCTCAATTTTATTGTTGAACCTTATTTTTGTTTTTTTTCGCATATTTTGCCATATGTGACGGCGTACCTACCGCTAACCTGCTAAAACAAGTAAATTTGAAACATTCTATATACTACTTTTTTTACTGCACTATGTACTACAAAACTGTTTATTTTTTGTCTTCATCTAAGTTTAATTGTAATTTTTGTCTTGTGCTTCTCTCTGCGTGTTGAATTGAACAATTTTTGTCTTATTATTGTTTTTTTTTTTCTTTTGTAACTTAAATCTAATCAATTTGCATGTGATGCACGTTTTTTAAGGTTAGTTATTTAATTTGCTTTAATTTTTATATGCTTAACTTTATTTTTATTGACTTTAACTTTCTTTATTTTAACGTTTTTAAAATTGTCTCATTCTAATTTTTTTGCAAATGCTTTTCACTCAAGAGCTTTCACAGTTTTTGTGGTTCAAAAATAAGTTTTGAATTTTTTAAAGTTGAAATTAATTATCCCACAAATTATATAGATACTACTTAAAATATTTGGTCGATACTAAAAAAAAAATATCCCAACGGTTTAATCGAAGAATGTTAATGTATTTTAGCTTTTGAAATATATGTATATATTTTTAACTACTTTGCTTAGTTAACCTACGTTGACTTAAGTCTTAAAAAATTCATTCAAATATGTTATGTCATATAGAGGGTTAAAAAACATAGAAAAAATAATATTTACAATATGTTTACGCACATAAATGTATTTAAAAAAGCGTTTTAATTATGTACAGAGGCACAAAGCCGTTAAAATAGGAAAACAAAATCAAAATTAAAAATAATTTTTAGATATTTATGAAGCAGAAAAAGGCTCAGGGAAAAAGCTTTTAATAACTAAAAGAAGATAATTAAAACCAAAATTTCCTACATAAATTTTTACGGTTAAATTGTAGTTACGGTAACAGAAAATAATCATTATACCGAATTTCCACTGGACATTCAAATGACAAGAACTTTATGTCAACGGACTATTTTTATAGTCAAAAGAAAGTCGGCACTAAAGTTAGTGGCATCATTTTGACATAATTTTCAATGGAATATCTGTCAAACAAGCTGCAACTAAGTTTGGAGTCCACTTTATTACTTTACTATGAAAATGCACATTCACTTTATGACACAGGTATTTGTGAAATCTATATTATTTTGTGTCATTTAATGTCGAGTGGAAATATGTTTGTAAAAATCGAGTCCGCTATGTTTGATTCAAAGTAGAATATAGATCCGAAAAGTGGCGCTGGAAACAAGCTGTTTGAAGAAATTTTATACTCGAAATTTACTTGAGCGTATTAAGGCTGTGCGCCTTGAAGTAATGATTATATCCATGTAGCGGTGGAACATCGAATATGTAACTGTCAGACAACAGAGTTCGCTAATTGTTGTCGGCAAAAGTTATCTTCACTGTCAACAATTACTATAAATCCGATGAAGAGAATATTATCTTCATAGACGTTTCCGAAATGGAAATCTGTACAGGATTTGGCGGGAAGATTTGGATGTTGGGTTACCATGTTGTTGTTGTTGTTGTAGCAGCATACAAATTCCCCAAAGACTTTTTGGGGAGTGTTGCTGGAGTGACAGTCCTTGGCCAGATATAATTCTGGGTCGTTCCGGTTACGTAGACCCGACTGTCGTGGGAACGGTTGGGTTACCATCTTGCAGACTGCTGAAGTGTTTCTTAGGTTTAGGTCATGGCAATTCCGATGGCGACAATATTGGTAAGCATTATAGAGCCCGCATAAAAAAAGAAACACACCCTTGCTTCGATGTGCATACTTAAGTTACAATAAAAGCCTACCGCTATGAAATATGAAGACACTTACAAGCTCTTCGGCAGCACAACGTCAATCGTCAACGTCAAGGTCGATTACCAAGGTGGCGCTATCCCTTCTTTTTACCTTGGCCAGATTAACAAAAAAGATGACGCTTGTTAAGGTTCTTTAAACCGTACGTACAGATTTTAACGGGAATACAAACGGTGTATTGGCTTATGGATGATAACTACTTTAGTTCAGAAAGGTATAATCGATTTAGCAAACTCTTATGTAAATGAAAAGGGTTAAGAAATTAATTTTCTAGTCAGTTAGACGCATTTACTACACTCGAGTTTCGATTAAATAATTAATGGTACAACAAGTAGTAGTAGTAAAGTTGTAAAAATAAACAAAGCAAAAAGAGGCATGTAGGCGCTTCACGTAAGTAGCCAAAACAGGTGATAACAACAACAGTAAGTAAAGCAAATATGATACAAATAATAAAGCCAATCAATGCACAGCTCCAAAGCTTATAACTAAAGAAAAAAAAACAAAAACAAATAAACCAATATAAAAAAGATAAAAAGAGCGGGGCTAGACTTTGTAATACAATTAAACCACACAAGCTGAGAAAACTCCCATTACCCGTCAGCCAATATCTTGTTGCTGATAATTATACCTGTTTGAAGTTTGTTGTTGTTGTGGCTGTGCCTGTTGCTGCTGTTGTTGTGCTGTTGGCGACTGTGCGGTCGGTTGTTGTAATTGCAATTGTTGTGGATACGCTGGTGGCGGCTGCTGTTGCCGCGCACCAATCACAGCTCCGCCTACCACACCTCCACCACTCGTGGAAAATTTATCCAATTCTTCGTTGCTTGTTAATTGTTGTTGTTGTTGTTGCGCAGCCTCCAATTGCTGTTGGTCGGCAAGTAGCTTAGCAGCTAAAATTGACACATAAGCACGATAGCGGCGTATCTGTTAAACGGAAAGATTTTTATGTGTGGAGTGTACAGGAGAAATACGTTCGCATGCAAATAACTCACCTCATATTGCAAGTAGTTTTCTTTTTCTTTATAATTCTGTAGTGGCAGTCCTTTGTTTGGTATAGGCCCTTTCTTGTGATCCGCAAGTGCAGCCTCTAATTGAGACAATTGTTGTTCGTGCGATTCTAATTGCTCTTTCTGCTTGCGAAACAAAGTGAAACAAAATGTTTTTAACTTGGTTTTTGCTAACAAAAAAAAAAACAAAAATTATGCATGTCTACCCACCATCAAGTACTTTGTATGCGTGCTGGGCAACAGCGGACGTTGAAAACGTTTTTGACTACCCACACCACCCTCCAGTGGGGGCGCTGAATAGGCGGCACAAACGAAATTTATCGTCTCCACCCACGATTGCAGCTCTTTGGAATCACTAGTCTGGAATAGATACTCAGCTTGATCGGCGGTTTGCAATCGGAAAACGTGTTGTTTTTTAGTGTAGTCGGTGGCCTTGGTGGCTAAAGCGTGATGAATGCGTATTGCATTGTGCAGATTATCGGACATCTGAAAGATTGTGGAATTTATTTAAATATGAAAAAAAAAAAATGATTCGTTCTTATAAGGTTAAATGAGCGACACCACCCACCTGACTTTTACGAAAGCCATGCTCGTCTTTGTGCAGGAAAAGCACTAAATCACGCAGTGTACAGTAGAACATCTTCCAGGAACGCTTACCGAAGGGTGCTAAAAGCGTAAAAAAATATTCAAATAATATGGTACGAAATAATGTAAGGAAGATAACAAATGTGCCGTTTTTTATGAACTATCTTGACTAAGCATCCTAGTAATGGACTACATAAAAAATAAACAAAATATGCAGTCTCTGTTTAGGTATATTTTGATACTTTTATAAATTAATTTAATTATCCTTTAATCGATATTATTACAGATATATTGTTGTTGTTGTTGTAGCAGCATACAAATTTCCCATAGGGTTTTTGGGGAGTGTTGCTGGAGTGACAGTCCTTGGCCAGATATAAATCTGGGTCGTTCCGGTTACGTATACCCGACTGTCGTGGGAACGACATTGGTATATTTTACTTATATACCTCTATCGATACATCTATTATTACACTTCATAAATATTATCATATACATACATGTCGTCGTTTAAAGTGTAAAACCGCGTAACTAACATGTATGCCAAAAATGAGATTTGCTCATCGGAAGCTTGTGGCATTAATCCATTGTTATCCATTCATACTAAAATATCGATATAAATAAATAGCCTGAAATTTGCTTTGTTTCATAAAAGAGAGAACCGTTTTAGAATAAGATTGCAGTTTTTATTATTTCCTGTAAAATTTACTCCTCATATACGCGGTTTTGCATTATGTTTATTCGCAGTTTTGCACATTAAACGATGATATATATTTTTTGGCATATTCATCGATGTATAGTTTTGTTTTATGGTTTAAAGTGAAGAATATGAGAGCTAATGATTAACTTTATTTTCTGGAAATTGCAAGCGATAATCCATAAATTCGATTTTTAGCACCCCTATCAATTCACATAATAATCCGTGTTGTTATCGAAATGATTATGGACATATTTTACGATAGACTCATTGCAATCGCTTTCGCTCATCGTCGATATCGATATATTCGACGATGTTATCTAATTATGCATTAAAAAAAATATATACATATAATAAATAAATAATCTCAAACATTTACTTACTTTTTTTGTAATTGGAATCAAAACAGCACTTGCGCATCACATAACCTTTTTTGTATTCAATCGCCGATGACGACTCTGGTATGTCTAAGAATGGATTTTGTCCGATTAGGCTGTTGCTTGTGCTATTGCCCACATTATTGTCGGCGCGTTGCTTTTGCAATTCAGCAGAATCATCGTCGCTGGAAAATGTAAAATGTAGAAATTTTAAATGAAAATATGTATGTATGTAGCTCTAATGATAATATTTTAATAATAAAGATAATTATTTTCTTACAGCGCCCATTCCAGCGGTTGACTCTTAATAGCCTGATAAAGATACTTCAAAACGTCCTTGGGAAAATTTTCGCCATCATTGAGTTCCGCCAGGTTTTCAATGAATTCAGCGCAGGTCATTTTACGTCCGATATTTTGGCCATGCAAATCGGTATTCAATAGCATAATAGCGCAAGTTAAAGTATGTACAGCATCTGTTGGAAATATAATAGAATATAAAGGATATATTTATATTTAGAAATGAAAACAGGCATTAGTGATAATGGAGAAAAATTTAAAAAACAACAAATTTGGAAATGCAACCACATTCTGTTTGGGGCCTAGCTAAATTTTCTCAACTAATACCTTTTTGGCAGCAAGAAAGCAAGCCCTGGTGATGGTGTTCATAATCTGAACTCTATTAACTGTTGACCATTGCCACGATGCTAAACAGCGGATTGCCGGTTACCTTTGCGCAAGGAAGTCATCCATTCGGAGACAAAAAATTAAGCGCGAGGGGGAAATAAAACAATGTAGCTGTACCATAAGGCGAAAACAAAAGCCGAGAGGTAAGCTTATCAACAAGTACTCTGAAATATTTTCTGTATGGCAAGCTAAAAAATTTAGAAGTAGAAACCAGGTCCTTGAAAGTCAAATAATTAAAGTTAAAGGCACGAGTTGACTGAGTGCTTATTAATTGAAGACGTTGGTGAAGTGGTTTACCAATCCAGCGGGATAATTTCTCTACAGCATCAGCATGCATATTCCGTCGGGTTCAAAGGCTTTGGAGACTTTCGACTTTTCGATAGCCATTCGAACTTGACCGTTGGCGTAAGTAGAAGTTCCACTAGTTTCTGCCAGTTTCTGTAGCTTTGTGATCACTCGTCGCTCCTTGAGCGGACTTCTTGATCTTCTCATAAGTTATAGAGGTATTATTTTAGACTAGAAAGTCTCGAAACTTTTATAGACTGCCAAAATGTCAATGATTTTCAAGATTTCTAGTTAACTTAATGAAATTATTTTCCAGGTTAGAAATGCAAGTTCTGGTCTCTAACCCGTTTGAAAAAAAATAAAAATAAAACAGTATTTTTCTATGTCATAGTACTCACCTTGCGAATTAAATGTACCCGGATTGCAGTCCAAAAAGCGTTTCGAAAAATGTACCAACACGCGTTCCCGCTCCTGCGTCTCACCCGATAACGAGAATTGTTGCAAAAACTCGCGCAAAGATTGATCAAGCGTTTTCTTTTCAAAACTGAAATACTTTAGGTATTCGTCGGCGACGGCGCGACTAAAGTCGTTGCTAAAACAAACATAAAACGCAACATTTTAAGTTGAAAATCCTACCGCCCCTAAAACTATGAGCTTTTATTTAATCAAGCACATTTACACAACTCACTTTTTACTGAGGTGCCGCGACACGTCGCTCTTCTTGAAACCATCCAGGGAGTACAGTCTTTTGGCCAGCCGTATTGCCGACGGCATATCTACGGCCTTTGGTGAGTAATGATAGGAATGTAACGACTCCACATCGCTGCCATCATCTGAGACGGGTGGCGATGAATCTCGCCCCGTACCGGCGCCGCCGAAACCATCGCCACTGCCCGCCACCGTCAATACGGTGTTCAATGGCTCATCCGTCAACGTAGCCAATTCATCCTCGGAGTCTTTCAGTTCGGAATAGGCTGAGCGTGTTGAGGCACTATTGCTGGTATCGATGCCACGCACCTGTATCACTAGTTTATGCTGTTCGGAATTCTGTTGTTGGCCACCAGCAGTCTTCTGTTGGTGTTGCTGCTGCTGTTGCAATTGTTGTTGGTGTAGCGCTTGTGCTTGCTGTTGTAGCTGATGATGTTGTTGCTGCTTTTGCCTTGCTGCCGCCGTATCCGACACGAGTATGGTTGAATCCGAATCACTGGGATCGCTAAGTACCATGCCGCCTGCAAGATCGCGAGAACTCAATAAATTATCATCGTCCTGATAGTCGGGACTAGAAATATTCGAGATGGCTTCGGAGACGCTCTGGTCGCAACCGGCACCACCTGCAAGACTATTATTACCACCACCACCACCACCACCACTACCATTACCACTACCAGTAGGACATTGTAACAAACCCATTTGCAAAGCCGTTGTGGCCGTGGTTGCGCTGGTGCCGCCACTTGTGCCGCCATTAGCTGCATTTGCTGTCAGTTGAAGTTGTTGTTGTTGCTGTTGTTGTTGCTGCTGCTGATGATGCCCGCCATTGTTGTTGCTACTCAACGCATAAGCGCCACCTATGCCAAGCGCACCCTTCGAACCGGACGATGACATCACCGAACTGGACACAGATGTAGGTGAGGCAGGGCTGCCGGCTGAATGTTGTGGCGATGAACTTATCGAACTCGAATGCGAGTGCGAATGCGAATGTGAATGCGAATGCGAATGGGAGTGTGAATGTGACTGCGAATTCGGCGATGAATTGTTGTGGCCGCTACCGCCACCGCCACCACCGCCGCCATAGTGTGCGCTGGAATACTGCTGTTGTTGCTGTTGTAGTTGTTGCTGCAGCTGTTGCTGTTGCTGCAATTGTTGTATTTGGTGTGGCGCCAGCGGTGCGTTATAAGTCCAAACGATGCGATCACGATTGGAGCCCTGCAGCGGTGAGAGTTGCGCGCGAACGAAAGAGAGTGAAAGAGAGAGCGAGAAATAAAAATATGAATTAGCAAACTAAGCGATAAAATAGCTGAGAGTAGAACGTAGTCTGGCTGTTGCTACCTATTCAAGTCTAAATGCTAAATTGTTTACTATTTTTTAGCTAACAATAATCGATTGTTTTGCCTTCTTCTATTATTATTTATTTACAAACAGAAATTGAAAAGTAAATACTAAGTTGAGTGAAGTTTTTTTCTAACACTTTAATAAAAATGTATTTTTATTTTCGATTGATGATTCAACAAAATATCGAAGGCTGGAAATTTTATCAAATAAAACTTTATATATGTATGTATGCATCTAGCGCTGCGTAATATAACAACTGTTATTGTTGTAAGCGTTTTATATTAAAAAAAAAAACAAAAATAATTGTATTTATAGGACAGAGGTACAGTCATGTGGAAAATAATAGGGACACGACACTTTGACCAGTTTTGGTTATATTTTTTATTGTTGGCTAATGCTTTTGATATATTTTTTATGGTCGATTTGGTTGGAAGAAAATAATGACAAAATTTACAATAAAAATTATCAAAACGCAACGCAGATTCTTAACCACTTGAAGCTTGCATTTTATTAAACTATTTATTTAATGGGCTATAAAACTGCATACTTGGAACTTTTCTGAAAATTAATAATAAAAAGTTCGTTGTAAAATTTTGTTGAATGTTTCTAATTTTTCTAACAGAAGGAAAATTGTCAAAACTGGTCAAAATTTCGTGTCCCTATTATTTTTCACATAACTGTATGTACATATCGATAATAATAATAATAATAATAGATTGGCGCTTCCACATATGTATGTTTTTGTTTGGCCGAGCTTCTGATGTTGTCATACAAAGGGGAGGGACCTACAGTTTTAAGCCGACTCCGAACGAAGATTGTATTTTTATGAGAAGCTGTTTTCACAGCAGAAATACACTCGGAGGTTTGCCCATTGCCTGCCGAGGGGCGCCCGCTATTAGAAAAAACAAATTTTTGTTTTTTATTTTTTGATGTTGGGTTGAACCGGTATTAAACCCAGGCCATGCGGAACGGTAGCGCGCGCTGCCAATCAGTACCCCACATTGACCGCCATTGCAAAAGACCATCGAGATGTACAATATATGTATGTATGAACTAAAAATTTACGTCGGAATTTTAATTATGCACTTCCGTTGCATTGCAGGTGTCACACATTTCCGTGACGATTTTTTAGTTCGCTACCCTCTCGTCTGCGCCAATAAGCGTCACTCTTGTCTAGATTCCCGGCGATAGGAACATTGAAGGAAATAAGAATGCCGATTACTTGACGAAGGCAGGAACCTAGTTGGAGGAAACCGAGGCTGTTGCACAGCAGTGCCCCCTCGGAGTCGTTCAAAGATAAATTGGTTTGCATTTTCTGGGATTGGCAAGGAACAGGTCATCAGATACACAAACTTGCAAAATAGCCAGGGAACTCTGGCCTCACTATAACAGAACGAAGACACTAGGCCTAGTTAACAGACCAAGGGCAGAAGTATTAAGAATTGTAGCCCATAGACAAACAGACAGCAGAGAGAATGCGGCTCCCATATAATAGAACTTGTCGCGGCTATAAACTAGAAGGTAGCGAAGAAAATAACCAGGATTTTCCTTGTGAATGCACAGCTCTAGCGGATGTTAGGCATAAAGCATTCGGAAGACAAATACAAACAAAACTATCAGATATATCAGGATCTACTATAGGGGATATCGGCAAGTCCATCATCTCGGTCTTAAATAAAACCACCAGAGCCTAGGTGTTGCATTTTTCGGGGACACCTACATTCGCCAATAATTTATGGGGAGCTTTAATTTACTGTCATTAGGGTGCTACATTAGGGTGATAAGAATTGAAATCTTGTGGGCTGGTACTAGAATGGGGTAATGGGGATCGAGACAAAAACATTGATACATCATACGTTAAGAACCGACAAATGCGGAAGTTATAATAAAATATGTAAAAAAGGCGACCCAAAAAAATGTTTTGTACGGCAAACTTTTTTCCTGTACGTCAGTCAGTGTCCAATGTTAGTATAATAGATATACTAATATTTATTTTGATGAATTATTTTTTTTCATTAATTATCTATGATTATTTAGTTTATTCTATAACCTAAACAATATATATAAATCAAAGTTTCACACTGTATATAAAGTTCAAAGATATTCAAAAAAATTTCATAAAAATGTAAAACATTAATTCAGAAAAGCATATTTTTATTTGGACGAAAATGAGCAACACACTCCACAAAAAAAAAAAAAAAATCAACGGTAAGTTTTAGCGACTTGAAATTTACTTACTAGAATTGAACGGACTACGATAATGCAAACTCAAAAATTTTCTCGAAATTCTGAATAAGAATTTTGAAATTTTTTGGTGATTTTTTTTTCTTAAATGTGAACTTTATATCTACTCAAAATCAAAAAATTATCCGAACACTGAAAGCAGTTGGAAATTTTTTTATGCGAATACGTTGGAAAACTTGAGCCGATCTAATATCTTTAGGGTCAGATTCGGATTTTAGTCAAAATAACATTGTTTAAATTTGGTTTGGCCTGTGTAATTAATGAAAAAATTGCTGATGAAAACAATTGTGAATATATCAGAAGAAGGTGTATACTAACAATTGACACTGACTGTCTCCTCATTTCGAGTATGCAATATTGGCTGATTTGGTTAAATTTGAAAAAGAGTAATGAAGAATGTACTAAAATAGAAATAGGTATCACTTCATATTTCAACTGTTTAAATGTAATGGCGCAAGCTCTATGAATACGATTATCGAACTAAATACAACCGAAAATATTTAACATATCTAATAAACACAACTACTGCTAAACTACATAGTAAATGCTTGTAAAACAATGTATATATACTTATGAATCTATGTAGATCTAAGCGCATGCGCTAATCAATAAGTACAGGTACATTTATATAAATATAGCAACAACAAATAATTTAAAATGTTTCTGAACGATTTGATAAAGCAAATTATAGCAACTACACTGTTTAACAGTAAAAATATGTATGAAATATATATTTTTTTTGTAGTTTTTCTTTACGCTACAATCTCGGTTTATTTATGTACATATGTACGAGTACGTATGTATGTATTATGCTCAACCTTTTTAAAAGCATATTCAGCTGTTGTTGTTGTTATTGTTGAGTTGGTTGTGGTTATTATTGTTGCAGTTTTTATTATTGTCATAGTACATGCAGTTGTTGTTGTTGTTTTTGTTATTGTAGAAGTAGTAACAATAGTTGGTGTAGTTGAAGAGAATGCTGCATTACTAACAGCGGTATCAGTATTGCTTGTTGTTGTTGTATTGGTATTAGTAGTGGCAATATCATTTATAGTTAGTGTATTAGTAATGTTGTAGTTATTATTGTTATTGTTGCAACCACTTTCTTCCGCTGCTGCTGTTGCTGCTGCTGCTGCTGCTACTGTCACTCCCACTCCCACTGCTGCAGTTGGTGTTGTTGCTTCTACACCCGTCTCTGCGTCCATTAACACAATTCGCGGTATGCTAATGCGTACTTTACGCCGCCGCCTATTGAAGATATCGCGTTGACTGAGGAGTGTCGCCTCCGGCGATGATGGCAGCAGAGTTGGCGAAGATGTAGGCGAGGAAGAGGAGGTAGCCGCTGCTGCTGCTGCTGCAGCAGCCGTGGCAGCATTCAAGAGCGCCGTTTTTAATGCCGCCGATGAAGACGAAGATGATGATGATGCTGATGATGCGATTGCAGAAGCGGATGGCGATGACGTTGATGAAATAGAAGATGAGGCGAAAAGTGGTGAAAAAGTGGAGCCACGCTTTATTGTTGTTTTTTGACTTCATTGTTGCTTTATTCTTTGGTTGGTTAGTCGGAGTAGTAGTAGTTGAAGATGGCTAAAAGACACATACACATACATACACAGGAAGACAAAGACAGAACAAAAAAAAAACAAAAAACAAAACGAAAAAACACACACACAAAATGAAAATCGAAGAAAAATTAAAAGCTCATTAAAAAGAGTTGGAGTAACCAATGCGAAACAAAACAGAACAGGTTCGAGTGTACGAATTGTAAGTTGGTATGTTTGGTGTGTTCGGTATGTACGAATATGTTTTTGGCATTTTTAAGCATTTCGAACATAAAACAGAGGTAAGTAATTGTGTTTAGAAGAGAGTGGAAAAAAGTGGAAAAGATATAAACAAAAATATATAACAACGTTAGAGAGAGGCATAGACAATGTGTAGGAATATTAGTAGTTTTAATAAAAGTAGTAGTAAGTAGAGCAAGAGTTTTAATGGTTAAACAGCAACAGGAGGATAAAAAATCGTAAAGTTTACTACTAATATAAAAAATGATAATTACGTACATCGTAGTTGCATATGGAATGTTATCAGGAGACTTAAAAATTTTTGTTCAATAAATTTTAATTTTTGACTAAAAACTTTTTAGGGTGAAATATTTTGCATCACTTCTTGGTTTTTGGTTAAAACTTTACCTATACAAAAAATGTGTTTGGAAAAACCTTTTAGTAAAAATTTTCAAAATTCTCTTTTTCATCTTAATGAAATTGTTTTATTAGAAATGCTATTAAAGTTTTCTACGAAAAAATTCACATTCACATAAAACGCTTTTATTAAAAAACGTACATGTATCAATATTTTATTCGATTTCTTTATTACTAAAAACATTAAAGGAAGTGTTATTTTTTTGTTGGTTAATTTTTCCGACAAAGTGGGAAGATGAATCTCCATCATCAGTTTTTTTTTTCGTAAAATAGACTGAAGATGGGCACAGCAGCGAAACCTGTTTGTATCCAAAGCAAACTTGACAAGAAAGCACGGAAATTGGTTCTGAAATAGTATGTACTTTTTTATTACTTTTTTTTTTTAAAATTCTTCAACCACGGTGAAATAAATTGCTTATTGAAAAATTTACCTTAAATAAAATAAATCTTTAAATTCTATTAAAGTTTACATAAAAAACACTAGTTTTTAAATAAGTTTTGAAATCTTTTAATCTTTGATATATGTATGTTTATTAAGTTTTAAATTGTTTTATCATAACCGAAATCATTTTTAATATTTTTTTTTTTAATACGTAGTATAAAATTTTCCAAAATTTTGTAATCTTTATTTTTGAATGATTTTATGATTTTTTCTATTTTTGTTAAACACTTTTATTTGAATACATATGGAAATTTAAATTTTCTTATAATCGCCCTGTAATGCAAAAGAAACTTTGCCTACGTGAGTCCTTCCTGATCATGCCTGTGATTTAGAAAAGGGGTAGGACTACCCCCTTGCTGAAATCAGGCAAAAAGGCGGATCTTGAAGAATCATATGTATACGCGCTATTCGCTGCAAGCTGGAGTTCTTTCAGTGCCTTACAGTGACGACTTCATCGACGGGCCAAAACAAACGAAATACTAGGCTAGACGATTACTGGCTATCACTCTGACCTTGCTAGACTCTTCACTATTAAAGCTTACCACAAATTGGTATAAGGGCAAGGATTAAACATAAAAAAAAACAGCGGTATCACACAGAGCCTGACGCCTAAACTTTTCGACGACAGGTTAAACCTAATCTAAGTATACGTACTCTACTGCGAAGGAATTTAGTAATGATTACATATCAAATTTCAATAAAGCGTTTGAAAGCTCGGTTTAAAAAAAAAAAACAAAATACAGCATAATTTAAGATCTCCTGATAAACATTCCATAAACGTTTTTTAAAATATGATCAGTTTTCTTTTGTCTTAAGTTATTAGATCTAAACAACGTTAAGCTATTCAAAACAAATTCAAACTCGAAAATATAAAAACGATTTGTATCTAAAACCAAACAAAGCAAAGTGTATTTTGCAACAAATTGAAATGACTTAGAATGAAATTAGACAATTAGAATTAGATAATAAATTTCGAATCAATGTTAATGCAAATAAAATTGTACTAATCGTAAAATTTAACAACGCTACTACACAGTTAAAAATAAAATAATTTTAGGTTTCTTTTCATACAAATTCGTTACAGCTGCTCAAATGCGTCAACAAACTACCAACAAAAACAACAAATAGTATAATTTCACAAGCAATAAATCCTTCATAATTTAAGCAATACAAACAATCATAAGCAGAGTACAATAAAATTACTATCGAATCAATTTTTTGTTTGTTTTTTTTTTTTGGTAGACAACCATTAGAGGAACACAATTTTGTTGTGTATTAAAAAGAAAACGAACCGTAACTCAGATCTAATACACCACTTCACATTAATTAATACGACAATATGTTTTATACAAAACTTAGAATCTAAATTTGATTTTGGTACAAAATATAATTTTTTTGAATTTCGTAAAAATGCTGTATAGTTTGTCAAATAATTATTCTAAAAATAGGAAGCTTATTTTAGCATTTTTCTATAATTTTAAAATTTTCTTTTATACATATCGTCGGCGATACTGCAAAACTATTAGTACCCTTGACACTTTTGATGGTCTCTTACTTGCACCGGAATGCATCTGCAAATCGTTACACCCTAATAAACGAATGACAAAGCTGTCTACCTTTGCCTGATGAAGATGAACGATTGCCAGAAGCAATCATATACAGCGTTTTACAGTAGCACCGACTATATGTAAATAATTGGGAAAATATTAAATTTTCGAAATCTCAATTTTGAAATTGTTTTCACATTCCCAATTTTACACAATCGATCCTTTTCAATTTCAATTTTAATTAGAACCCTCGCAAATCCTTTTTTTACCCTCCCCCATTCAACAGCTCTATCAATACAATTAACCCGCTCTTAATCCAATCCCCTTTTTTGCCCACGACTTACCTGCGAGTCTTCAGAGTCTTGTCTCGTATCGAGCAGTGTATTCAGCGAACTATTCACATCCTCATCAATATCGATCGGTATCACAGCGGCCATACCTTCACGCTGCACCTGCTGCAAGTGATCTTCCGACTTGCTGGTACGAAAGCCAGCCGAATCGCATGTACGCACAACACCATTGTGTCGCCGCACCACGCCATCATGACCGGCGCCGCCGCCGCCGCCGCCACCGCCCACTGCACCCAGGCTCGATGGTTCCGGACTGGTGGGCACTGAGTTCGCCGTGTCCTTATCAATCAACGGGGTGGACAAAGAAATCGGCGAGGTGGGCACTGAGAATGAAGTCTCGTCGGGTGAGGTGTTTAAGCCGGCCATGCCGTCGCTTTTCACCGTCGCCGATGAGGAAGTCGAGCCCCCTGAGCCGCGTTGCTGTTGCCGATGCTGCTGATTGCGGTGTTGATGTGGATGCTGTTGCTGTTGCTGATGATGATGATGGTGGTGGTGGTGTTGGTTATAACCGCCGGTGTAGTGTTGCCGCGCACAATCGACCGAATCGTAGGCGGCGCCGCCACCGCTAGCGCGTACCACACTTTGTGCGTGTTTGTAGTGCGCAGCAGCAGCTTTTTGCTTTAACGCACGCAAACGTTGCTTTGCCGATGCCGATGTGAGCGAATTCGAAGAGTAGTCTTCGTCTTCGTGCTCAGCCCCACAACCGTCTTCGTCTTCAGCATCAAAGTCCTCACCTTCGCCTTCGTCGCCATCGTCATCCTCGTCGTCACCATAATGCGTCACTAGGCACTGACGATCGCTGGCATCATCATCGCCACACACATCGCCACCGCCTATGCCGCCGCTATTGTACGTTTCGATGTTTGTGATGTCGTAGTGCGTTTGATCCTCCTCGTTCTCCTCGATGTCAGCGCCTTCGTCGTGCTCGTAGCTGCTACGCTGTTGCTGGTGACTGTACTGATGACGTCGCGCTGAATGTGCTTGATGTTGGTGATATCGATGTCTGCGATTATTGTCGGTGCCGCCGCCACCGCCGCCTCCTCCTAACTCCTCGTCGTCACGCTCTAACTCTTCACACAACAACAGTGTGTCGTCTTTGCGCGCATCATCGGCCGTCGCACCAACAGCGCCCGCACCTCCGCCACCACTATTACTGTTATTGTAGCTGTTGTTTATGCTATCCAATTGTTGTTGTAGTAGATGGTGATGCGGTTGTTGGTGACGTCGTTTGCCACGATCTTTCTGATGGTGGGCTGCCGACTCCGAACTGCCCGTATGGGTAGGTGAATCCACCGATGAGGATGATGTGGGCGATGATTCACCGGAGGCGCGAGGCGCCAGGGCACCGTTAGCGCGCGCAGCCACGACCGCACGTTGTGGTGAGTCACGCAAGCTATCGATCTATGGATAGGGTAAGAAAAACAAATAATTAAATCTTTTTGAAGACGAGATATCGCACGCAGCATAGACGTACCTTTTTTGCGTGTCCTGGCAGTAGGTTACTACTTTGCGAAGTTCTCGATAGATTCAGTATCAGTTCGCCAGTCATCATGTACGCCTCGAAACGTGGCGCCTTCGCTGGCTGTGGCGGCGCAGAGTTTGGCTCAGCGTCGCGTTCCTTCTGGTGCGCCGCTGCTTGTTGTTGCGTGAAACGTGTGCTATTGCCGCTATAACTGTTCGAATGTTGCAAATGCGCACTTCCACTTCCACCCGTTGGAGGCACAGACGATTGCGTCGCGTTGCCGCTTGGCGGCGCGTTGCCGTTGGTAGCTGCCACAGCACCCGCGGGACCGGCCTTCGTTGGAATTTGCGATGGTCGCGGTCGTTTATGCTGTGGCGAATGCTGCACGGTTGGCTTTTGTGGTGCTTTCAAAGCGGTTGGAATGCGCGAAGGACGACTTGTGGGCGATGTGCAAGTGGCACCACCTGCGTTTCCACCACCAGCCGCTACCGAAGCGTTTGTATCACCAAACTGTAGCTGGGCTGACGAGGCGGAAGAGCTGCGACTATGATTACCCTGCTGTTGCTGGCTGGCCGTCGCAGGCGTTGGCAGCGAACCTTGACGGTGTGGCAAGTGCGTGGGCGATTTGGCGTAACGTATCGCAGGCGAAGACGATGAATTGGAGTTGCTGTTGTGTGGCGGTTCGTAAGAGTCCTGCAGCGACAACGAGCGATGGTGTGAAGTGGGCGATCGACAACTGGCTGCTTTGTAGTCGTAAATGTGCGGTGATGGTTCGATGTCTTCGTAATGGGGATTTTTCGTATTGGCCACCTGTTCTTTGAGTCGCGCCTTCAATTTGGGATCTACGGTTGGTATGATAAGCAGGATAGCGTTAAGAGTATTAGTGATTTAAAGGGCAGAAGGGATTCGGAAGCAACTACTTACCACGACGCAGCTCTAACGTAACCGAGTCATCGGATAGACGTAAGCATTTTAAAACTGGGAGAGACGACGTGTCGAAGATTAATAAAAAAGGAGGGGAATAAACGTTGTTTATTGATAAATATAAAAGTAGATATTGATATAAAATGAAAACTAAAAAAAAAATTATAAATTTTAATAAAAAAAAAACCATGAAATAAAAAAATTTTATTAAAATCAAAAGATAAAAAAATAAAGCAAAAAATTAAGCAATAAAAAAAATAAAAATTTAAATTAAAAAATGCAAATATAAACAAAATAG